GGATCCTCACTTCCTGCTCTGCAAATCCCATTTTTGGAGTCTGTTTCCTAGGACTATTCCTGATACCACCTGTCTTAGGTAAGGTTTTGGGGGGAAATAATGATGAAACAGAGATTTGTTTGTAAATAGAACATGTAGGGGCATGTTCAAAAGAACAATGCTGTGAGGTAGTAAGGGAAGCAGAATTAGCAGAGAAATTGAACTGTGGTATAGTTACAACAAAGGTTTTGGCTGATCCCATGGGGAGTTCTGGAACGAAGATGGCCTTTTAGAGGTGACTTTGAATTTTGAATTTGAAACAGGAGATCCTGGCCTTCATATACATCTACATTATCTCACTAAAGGATGCAGGCTGTCCCCAGGAGAGGGCATGATCTTAAAAGACACTGTTCCCTTCAGACAAGGCCAATTCTCTAAAAGTTGGGGAAATGAGTGTCTTTGTCCTGAGATGGTGGGACAGGGGGCAGGGGTGGTTTGGGGCAGCACAAGCACAGTTCCATTGCAACAAATTTGTCTCCTATTGGCAGTCATTTATTTGTTCTATCAATCTATATAATTTTCAAAAACTTGCCTTTATTTTCCTTTTTCTATTCTTTCTTTCCCTATCTTTAACATAGTGTCTCTTCTCTCTTGTATTCTTGGCAGTTTAATTTCCAATTGGTTTTCCATTTATTTACTTAGTTCTGTCAGGTTTTGTTTTACATCTTTCTGTTATCTATTTCTGGGTTCTATTTCTGAATTTATGTTCTGTATCAAAGCTCATAAATGTTTTCTTTATTTCAGCTCATTTTAAAATACTGGGTTAGTTAGTTTTCACTTAATTTGTGTCTGCATTTTTCTGGTGTGTTCATTTTCTACTAGATCTGGCTTTCTAACCTTCAGAAGTTTATTTTGCTGTTCATAATACTTCCTGGGATCTTCTTTCTCTGGATTCTTTCCTTATCCACTACTATTTGAATTTTCCTTTCTCCTTACCCATGGCGTTTCTGTCTTGTTCCATTTGATTTCTCAAACTAGCAGTTTTCTTTTTGTGTGTGGGTTTGTTCTGTAGGAAATACTATGATGAATAGTTCTGAAATCCTCAAGGGCCTAGTTCACCACAGCACTCTTTGATCTCTCGCTGATTCTGTGTAGCTTTTCCCCACTCATCTGTAATTCAGAACCTCTGATGGCTTCTTTGAATGTTTCAGTTGCTCTCAAACCTACTTTTCTAGTTCGATCAAGAGATGATATCTCAGTTTGGAGTGGTGGCAGTGAGGATGAAGAGAATTGAACATCAAGAGAGATATTTTGGTGATATGATCAAGGAGAATTGTTTACGGACTAATGTAAAAGTGAAGAGGTTCTCAAAAATAGTTTTTGGCTTGAACAATTGGACAGTTTTACAGAAATGGGGGAAACCGAGAGGTGAATGGTTGGTAATGGCAGAAGGAGGCACTCTGTGTAGCTACCTATATTGCTTGAATTACCTATTAGGTAGCCAAGTGGATGTAGCAAAGAAATGACTTTGAACTGAGAGGAAAAGTTTTGCTTAGGTATTACTTCCTTTGGGAAGTCTTTCCTGAATGCCCACTTCCCATTCCATTAAGCTTGTTACCTTTCTAACCACAGCATCCTTCAGTGCTCCTATTGTAGACTTTATCAAATTTATACTGCAATTTCCTATTTATTGGTCCATTCACCCTGTTAGAGTGTGAGCTCTTTGTGGAATAGAACCTATGCTCTTCATTTTTTCCCCCAGGTTCCTTCCTGGATCAATGCTGACAGTCAGCTCTTATAATTTGTTTAAGGCATGCATATGACAAGATGGTAAATTCCATTTTTCCCCTAAAGCTGCAATTTTTGAAAACTATTTTCCAAATTCAGCCCAAATTTGCCCCCCATCTTCTATTGAGTATATACCTATGAAGCTAGGTGTTATTAATTTACTTGTCTGAACACTATTTGTCTTAAATCATAAGTGATCTTATGTCTAGGTGAGCATATTAGTCTTTCAAACTAAGCATGTAATAAAAATCTCAACATTTTCACATGTAATGTCTTAAAACTATGCCCCCTCAAATATATTTTTGTATTGTCTTCTACAGCCAAAAGCATTAACACTACTAAATTTCATCTTGCTAGATTCAGCCTCAACTCCAGAAGTAGAGATGATTTTGGGACCTGCATATATATTTAAATATCTTGATTTATATTGTCACCTCCCAGTGCTGAGAGGCAGAAGTTAAGAGCAGGACAAATTTGCCAAAGTCAGGCTCCAGGTCTTTGTCCCCAGCTTCAACCAGAAAATACTTTTTGGTTAATAGAAAACTAATTTTATGATAGAGTTAACATAAAGTTCTTTTTTAAAGATTTTATTTGATGGAGAGGGAGCATGAGCGAGCGCACAAGTAGGGGAAGCAGTAGGCAGAGGGAGAGGGAGAAGCAGGCTCTCCACTGAGCAGGGAGCCCAATCCCAGAACCCTGGGATCATGACCTGAGCCAAAGGCAGAGGTCCAACGACTGAGCCACCCAGGTGCCCCTAAACTTTATTTTTGTCAAAATGGTTTTTGTCTTAGAAATTTTTGAAACCAATTTCTAGAGCAAGTCCCTGGTAACTTTCCCAAGAATGTAGTCAACAGCACACACTTTTCCCTCTCCCAACTTGCCACCCCACCTAATTTAAATGATTTTAATGTTAACATTTTGTATGATTTACACAATGTTGATGAAATTGTGTGCTTCTAATTTTAATAAATCATTGATCTATTTAAGTTATTTGGAAAAGATCATAGCAATTTGGTGTCTTAGTGAATATTCTGATGATGTATAGTTTTGAATTTCTACCCTCCACCCTTCCATAAAAAATGGACTTCTGCAAAATAATTCACCAATTCTAAAAATGCTTATAATTCAATAATCTTGTCTTGAGTTTTCTGTGGAAAAGAGCTGCATTTTTTGCCAAATTCAGAAAAAGATCTTGCCATTCGTGTAGCTAATTCACAGTCTATTTGCTCTGCTCTGGTTCTTTCCCCTCTCCTTTCACCACTATACCAGATGTGTTAAAAAGAGAAGTAGTAGTGTAGCACCAAATAATCTTATACCAACCAAAGTCTTGTGGAAGAAAAGTTAATTTGAGAACTATCTGACTCCCTTTCAGACTATACCAACCTGGTATAAACCCAATCAATCATATTATGCTTCGGCTCACATTTACCATTTCAACAAAATCTCAAGGAAAAAGGACTATTAAATGTGTTGGCTACATGCAGATACATTACCATCTAAAGTTATTTACCTTTTTGATAAGATTAACACATCAAGGGAATACTATAGCCTGTTTTTCCTATTTCTAATGACTCCATGTTGGATTTTGATAATATTCCCATAAAGTCACATGGCAACTTGATGGTACAACTGAGACCAGAATCCTGGGATTTGGACTCCCAGTATTACTCTTTCTACTGTACCATGGTGATGTTCAATATTTACAGGAGGTGCTAATCATAAAAAAAGGGAGCACCAGTGTAAAAAAAATCAAGATGAAACAATTTAAAGGTAATGTACTCTCACAGCCCTCTCCCACTTGGGAAATTATTCCTTCTTCAGTTTCAAGTTATTTAGTTGCTCGAATTTTTTAACTTAAAACTGAACTCAAGTCTGCTTCTACTAAGCAAGATGTGAAATAAAATTATTACAATCTCACATTGTGATCTCCTAATAGGTGCAAACTGCATAATTGTTTCTCCTCTCATTCCCCAAATAAAATCATCTTTGGCTGGCAAATGATTGGTTCCACAAAACAATGTGTAGAAATTAAAACACTTTATTATAATATAAACATTTGCAGAATATAGACTGATTTTGTATCAGTACTTTTTGAGAGCTTTTTAAAACTATATATCATCTAAACTTACTATAGACTTCCATTTTCACTTCCAGATTTAGAAAATACAAAAATACACTGCAAATTAGATTTAACAACAAAAAAATCGGTCTAAGTCGCTTCACACATTTTTCTTGAAGAAAACCAAGAAACAAATAAACACACAACAACAACAATAAAATATCAACAACACTAACACAAACCTAAACAAGGAATGGATTCTGTAATGCCTGGTAGTTCTCTCATTTAAAATAAATGATCTCCCATGGGTAAATAATTCACCACCACAGCAATTTGATGAACAGAAGTAGGGACAACCTCATTAAACAAAATTACATTATATGTAAGAAACATAATTTTTCTTTTAAGAAAATGAGGAAAAGTAACTTGAGGACAAGGCATATTGAATACTTTTACTTCACTTGGCTTTTGTTAGAGGTTAAAGTTAACTGTTCACTTAGGAAAATTCAAATAACAATTTCATGAAACCAAGCTCTTCAACTTATTTCTTCAACTCAACCTTAAGGGAAAAAACTAAAAACAGTTCAAAATCCAAGAGTAGACTCATCCCAAAGCACTATCTTTCTTCAACAGGTATCCTTTTCTTTTCTATTCTTGTGTTGGTATGTTGTTCTTTCTCAGAGGCTAGGTTTATGCTTGTTTCTTCTTTCAATTCATTTTCAGTTTTTACACCCTGCCCCCAAACTAAGCTTTCCTGAATTGACAATGACCATATTCACCTCTTCTCTTCTTCTTTGGATGTTTTTGTTTTTTGTCTAAATCCATTTTCTAAACTGATTCCTTCAATTCATCCTTAGGCAAATAAAATGAAATGTTCAAATTCCTAAAACAGACTCCTCCAAAAACATTGACTCTGGTCTTTTCTTCAACAGGTTTCCTTTTCTCTTGTTCTTGTTGTGTTTTTATGTTTTTCTTACGTTCTTTCTCAGAGGGTAGGTTTAAGCTTGTTTCTTCTTTCAATTCAATTCCAATTTACACACACAAAAACTAAGCTTTCCTAAACTGACACTGACTGTATCCACTGCTCCTTCTCTTTATTAAATGTTCCTGTTTGTCTAAATCCATATTCTTAAATATTTCTTCAATTCATCTTTGGGTAAACAAAACTAAAAGCTCAAAATCCAAGAATAGATTCATCCCAAAGCATTTCCTCTTCTGTCTTTTCTTCAACAGATTTCTTTTTCTCTTTCTTGTGCTTACGTTCTTCTTTCTCAGTAGGTACACCATGGCTTTTTTTCTTTTCTCGATGTTTAAGCTTTCCCGAACTGACACTGACTTTATCTCCCTCTCTTTTCCTTTGTCGGATGCTCTTGTCCTTGTCTAGATCAGTATCCCCACAACTCTTTTTCCTTTTATGCTTGGACTGCTCTTTCTCTGGCCTTTCTTCGCCTTCCTCCAGGTGCCTTCTTCTCTTCTGATGTCTCCGTTTATGACCTGCTTGATGGTCACCGGTACTGTTTTCTGAAGAGAGGTGCTTGTAAACTTCAGATTCTACACTGTATGGGCCAGAGTTATTTTCTTGCTGACTAAGGCTAAGGGGTATTGGTTTTTCTGAGAAATAGTCTCTGATGGGCTGACAAGAGGTCATGGAGTCTAGTCTCTGTTTGCTGTCATTAGTTGGTAAGCAATGAGGTAACTGGTTTTCTACTGCTTGTGAAATACTGTATGATCCTGTATAGGTCTGGGAAGCCTCAAATGGGAGTTTTTGCTCAAACATTCTATGTTTGGGTCTGCAATCAACCATTTCTTTGTACTTATGGGTTTCTGTAGAGCTATCACTAATCTTTCTAAAACAAGTCTTTGGCTCTAATCCTCTGGCTTTCTGCACTTTGATGTAATCTTCAAGTTCATCTTGGAAAGAATCATAAGTCCTCTTTGAATGAGCTGGTAACCGGTGATGTAATTGGCTTTCTACTGGTGAAATATTATATGGTTGTTGGTAGGTCTGGGAAGTCTCAAGTGAAAATCTTGGCTCAAACATTCTTTGTCTGGGTCCAGAATCAACTTCTCTGTACCTACGGGTTTCCACAGAGTTCTCTCTTTTCTTTCTGAAACAAATCTTTGGATCTAGTCCTCTGGCTTTCTGCACTCTGATGTAATCTTCCAGTTCATCTTGGAAAGAGTCATAGGTCTTCTTTGAATGAGCTGGTGAACAATGAGGTAACTGGTTTTCTCCTGTTTGTGAAATACTGTATGATCCTGGGTATGTGCAGAAAGACTCACATGGGAGTCTTTGTTCAAACATTCTATGTCTGGATCTGGAATCAAATACTTCCCTGTACCCACGGGTTTCCAAAGAACCCCCTTCCATCTTTCTGAAACAAGTCTTGAATTCCAGTCCTCTGGATTTCTGCACTTGGATGTAATCTGCACATTCATCTTGGGAAGAGTCTTGTGTCTTTGAATTCTTCACTAGATTGGTAACAATGGATTCTCTGCAAAGAAGACAGCAGAAAGTTCTTGTTACTAGGTTATTTTATTCTGAATATTTTCTTTGCTTTCAAAAAGATTAGTTTGGAAAAACAAAAACAACAAAAGCCCAAGCAAATTTTTAAAAACCTACTGCAATATAAAAGCTATAAATCATCACTTTTTACACCAAAAAGAAGCAGCAAGCAGGGACAGTCAGATACTTCTCATGTACCTCATGATTTTTTACACACAAAAAAATTTTCAGGGCTGAGATAAAAGGGAAGATGGGTACAAAGATGTAGACATAGCTGCTACTGTCTTAGTACTTAAAATGTAAGGCATGTTGGGATATGTGGAAAAGGATCAATAATATTTAATGCCCCCAAATGGTCTGATCTGAATGTCACATTGTTTAAGAAGTTTTAATTAGCTTCTTGTATAGATCTACAAATGTAGTGGCTATTTATTCTGGAACTCTGAGATTTAAAAAAAAGAGTCTAAATGAAGATTAATCAGACAATTTAGCTCCTAAGTATTCAGACTCAAAGTAGAAATATTTTCTACCAGAATAAAATAATGTAACAGAAACACTATGGTTTGATTTTTAAAGCAACAAACCAAAAATACAATAGTTAAGTGCCCCTCTGTCCTGCTACCTGACTTATCCAATCCTTAATTGTCCACTTAATCCTCTCCTTAAAACAATCAAATAGAATGGAATAAATATTTATTGAGCTCCTATTATATGTCAGGCCAGGCACCTTACAAATATTTTTAACATTTCATTATAACCACTTCATATTGGAGCTGTCCAAAGTTATATACTTGTCAGAAACACAGATCTGATATTCAAATCCAGATCTGTCCAACAGCAAGACCTTTGTTCTTAACCACTGTACCTTGCTAGAAGGATGATGACCAGATCACTATATCTCCTGAAACTAAGCAACCTTCCAAGACTTATTTGAGTTTATATGGCTCAATGAGAATGATCCTTTAGTATTTCTCCAGAAAAGGACAATGCTGTCTGGTCAGCAGGGGTGCCAATTATCCAGTTCTGCCAATATACTATCATGGCTAGGAAAGTCCCTAGGGGATTTAAATACCATCACTTTTAGCAGTATCAAATACTATCACCTACAAATGCCATCACCTACAGCAGTATCAACTCATAGGGAAATGAATGCCTAGAAAGTTTGTAAAATACATGCAAGGGTACTTGACAGAAGCCCTGCTCTTTGGTGTCACAGGAGCATTTTGGTAAAAATAAAAAAAAAAAAAAAAAAACAAAAACAACAACAACAAAAAAAAAAAAAAAAACTTACTTAATTTGGTGTTCGCTTCCTTGCTTATGGGACCGGAGCATTTCTAAAGATGTAAAGGTGATATTACAAATATGACAAACGTAGGTTCTCATACTAAATGCTGAAAAAATAGAGAGTCCAAGTTAAGCAGGTCAATGTGGACACATTTAGAATCACAGAACTGGACAGGAATTTACTGAGATTATCTACTGAACTTTCCCAATTTGAAGATAAGGTCCAGAGAGGTCAAATGACTTGGTCAAAGTCAAAGAGCCAGTTAGTAATAGAGATAACCTCTCGGCGCTCATACTTCTTAATTTAGAGCCCAGAATTCTTTACACTACATCACATTGCTTCTCTAGGCTTGGACTCTTTCTTAAGAAACTGCTATCTGCCTGCCTATTGTTTCTACATCAAAGTGCAGCAGGCACTTCAAATTTAGTACGCCCAACCTCTTAATCCCTTAACCAACCTTTCTGCTTGCTCCTAATTCTTTTTCTGCCCAACAAAAACCTGAAAGGTCCCAAAAGATTAAACAAAAGCAAATTTTTACTCTCTTACCTGAAATCACTGTAGTGCATTAGTTTACCGAAAGTAATTTCCACAGACAGATTTTAGAAAGGAGAGAGGTTCAGTGAGCCCCACTCTCAGGATAAAAGCTGAAAGCAAGATTCTAAAACAAAACTACTAGTCACCACTTCAAAAGAGTCAAGAACTATAGATATACCAGCTACCTTTCTATTCTGCTTCTTAGGTAGAATTGAAAGCAGGGGATAAATTAATCTTTATTTTCTTAACTTCATTATTCTTCCACTTCCTCTTTGGTCAGAAGTAGCAAATTAATAAATTTCATAAGCTAAATATGAAATAATCCCACCCTAAAAGTGAGGCAACAAATTGGTGGCTGCAGTAATTTTAGGGTCAAGAGAGGTCATCTTTTAAATCAAAGAGCAATTTAATTATCCAAAGGATGCTAAATTAATCATTATCAAGTATACTGGCTTTGTCCAAGCAAAGATCATTCATAGAAACAAGAGAATATTGTCAAGGGGAAAGAAATACAATAATTTGGAAGAACATGAGGAGTCTGCTTACAATGGACAGATACTCTAGTGGGCCCAGGAGAACTCAGCAGTTTATGCCAAAGACTGAATGAATGATTCCTCATAACTATCCTCTCTGCCAGTGCTCTGATTTCATGCTCACCAAGTCACTTACAGATTTAATTTGGTTTCCCATATTATTTGATCCTAAAAAGGGGATACTTGGGTGATAGATCCAAGTTTTAAAAACCTTGAGGACTGAAAAAATATTTATCTCCTCCTACCATAAATCAATACCAGAATGACAGTGTATTAACTTAAATGACAGTGTTTCCCAGACTTCTCTGCTAAGAATTACTTGGAGTATTACTTAAATATAGACCCCCAGTTCCCTCCCCTGGAGAACATGATCCACTGTCTCTATGAGAGGGAATTTGTATTTTAACAAATCAGGTAATTATTCTTAGAGAATGTGTGGGAAATACAGTAAGGGAATGCCTTTCTTGTTCTTTGGTTATTTATCAGTGTTTGCCAAGTTTGTTTGTGGTCCAGTCAGTTCCTGATTTGAGGTTTATCTACCATGAAGATGCTGGACTTCCTGCAAAGCCAAGGTCTAAAGCCAGGACTATGCATGCTCACAACAAACTTTTCAAAAAATTATTAATATCCTTATTTAACAAGTGCAAAAATTAACATTCAGATTTGCTTGGCCAACACCATACATTTTGAGAGCACTGAAATTATGCAAGATAAGCAGGAATCCTGATTTCCTCTAGGTTAGTGGTTCTCAATGCTAGCTACATATTAGAACCATGTGGAAAACTAAAAATATTCATGTTACAGCTCCACATCAGACCATTTAAATCAGAATCTCTAGGAGTGGAACCAGGCTTTCTTACTTTTTGAAAGCATTCTTTTTTTTTTTTTTTTTTTTGACAGACAGAGATCACAAGTAGGCAGAGAGGCAGGCAGAGAGAGAGAGGAGGAAGCAGGCTCCCTGCTTGAGCAGAGAGCTCGATGCGGGGCTCGATCCCAGGACTCTGAGATCATGACCTGAGCTGAAGGCAGAGGCTTTAACCCACTGAGCCACCCAGGCGCCCCTTGAAAGCATTCTTAGATGATTTTTTTATATAGCCATTGAGCAGCACTGCCCTAATATTGAGCCAATGATCTTCATTATGATTATAAACTCAGATTAGATTTTAGGGGTTTTACATATTTGTTTAGTGCTTATAAAGTATACAGTATACATAATATTCTCCTCAGTTCCTCTTTTGTTTTTTTTACAAATTATATCAGAAGATTATAATATAGGTAATATATGGGTTTAGAGAAGCTGCTGGTCACATATAAAAGGTCCAGAGGCAGTTCTGAAACTCTGTGGTCTGAATACTATAACCTTAGCTCTTGTCTTTTTCATACACTGATATTCTTTATCTTTTTCTAGATATAAACATCTCAGAAAATAATATATAAAAATGGTGTAAACACTTTCTGTGAAGATATGAAGCCTATTTATTGGCTCCAAGATCAAAATTCCTGGTCTAATCCTTCTGTAACCTGCCTCCACTGTGTTTATCTTTTCCTTTTTTAATTGAAATATAATTAATATATAGTGTTACATTAGTTCCAGGTAAACAATATAATGATTCAACAATTTTATACATTACTTAATGCTCACCAAGGTAAGTATACTCTAAATCTCTTTAATCTATTCTGTTTCTTATACTTTCTATTCTTCCATCTTGGTCTGCTCCTTGTCCCTGTCCAGCTCTGCTGCCCTCAGCTCAGCTAGGATTCCTTATTTTTTTTTTTTAATTTTATTTTTTATAAACATATAATACATTTTTATCCCCAGGGGTACAGGTCTGTGAATTGCCAGGTTTACACACTTCACAGCACTCACCATAGCACATACCCTCCCCAATGTCCATAATCCCACCCCCACTCTCCCAAACCCCCTCCCCCCATCAACCCTCAGTTTGTTTTGTGAGATTAAGAGTCACTTATGGTTTGTCTCCCTCCCAATCCCATCTTGTTTCATTTACTCTTCTCCTTATTTCTGACTTCATTCACAAACTCAAGCTTCTTCAAATCTCATACCTTTCAGAATTTTCCATAACCAAACACCTGTGGTGCCCATTTTTCTCCTAATCACAGCTCTATCTTATAACTCCCCAGACTGAGATCTTTGTTTTCAAAGCACAGATTGGGGGAGTACGTATCTCTATAGTCTACTGTTGTGGTTCTCAATCTTAGCTCTATATCCTATTCAGTTAGGGAGTTAAAAAACAGAAAATAAAACACTAATGTGTAGGTCCTAGGGATTCTAATTTAATTGATTTGTGGGATGGCCTGAGCACTGAGATTTCTAAAAGTTCCTTGCATAATTCTAACATGTAGTCAAGGTGAGAACCATTGGTCTAATAGCTTAAATGGAAAATAACCAATTGAGAGCCTCGTATAAAGAAAAGTGCAGCTTAATGTGAATTTACTTTATGAAGAAAAATAGAAAAAGTCTAATTTACCTGTTTTTAAATTACAACAGGAGAACAAACATTTCAAAAAAAGGTAACATTTGTTAAGCACCTATTCTGTGATGGGTACTGTGCTGTTTCATTTCATCCTTTGAAAATCCTGTGAAGTAGCCTTATTTTCACTTTACACCTGAGGAATCTGAGGTTCAACTGGGTAAGTGACTTGAAACATATCTCTCAATCTATGTTTATCCTTCTATATGACCTGCCTTTCAATAAACAATTAGCAAATAATGAAAAAAACTATGTACTTATTACCATATAAAGTGCTAAGACGGATATTGCAGAATAAAATATAATCTTTTGTCTCAAGGAGGCTAATTCATTTAAGGGACTATAATTAGCGCAACTCTCAATGAACAGTGAAGTCTATGAGGAATCAGAGGAGGGGGAGAATATCAGCAGCCAGACAAGTGAGGGAAGTTATGATGGATCTGGGAGGATAAGAAGGATTTGGATTGTAAGGAAGGCATATAATGCCATTCCAGGGGATGAAAACAGTATCAGATATGGGAGAGACAGAAATGAGCATGATGTGTTGACTTCAAATAATCTGTTCAAAAAACACTAAGCACCTATGTGGCACCAAACATCACGCTAGATTCTATGGGTACAGGATGAATAAAATGGGCAGGTTGCTCACAAATGCAAGTGAGAAACATATAAATAAAGGATTTCAATCTCATTTGGTAAAAGGTAAGAGGTATGCTTAAGGGGTATGGGAGCTCAAAGAAGCAGAGGCACTTAGCACAGTATGGGGGTCTGTGAAGGCTACTGGAAGAGATGATGCCTTAGTTAACTTGGAAGGATGAACAATAGTTATCTTGTTGAAAAGAGTTGAGAATGGTATTGTATGGAGATGGACTAGCATGATAGAAACATAGAAGTGTTTAAAAGAACTTCTTAAAATTTGGAAATGTTGTAGAATAAAATATAACAGGACAATGTGGGAGAGGCAAAAGGGTGTCAGGTCAGAGAGATGTAAGTGTTATGCTAAGGAGCCTAGACTTTTTATCCTGTGTATTGGGAAACCTTGAAATGCTTTAAGTAGTAAGTGACATGGTCAGCTGTGTGTTTTAGAGAAGTCTCTCCTGTAGCTGCAATATGTAGGATAAATTTGAGAGGAACAAGCCTCAAAGTAAGGAGACCACATGTATGTAAATAACTAGACAAGGCAAGAGATAAGGAAGGCATGAGGTAGAACACGGTAGGGATAGGCAGGAGCAGGGAGATTGGTGAAATATACCATCAAAACTGGAAAAACTAAAAAAGAAAAAACTGGCAAAACTTGGTGACTGATTGAATGTGGGAGATAAGTTTATCTGAAAGGTGTGAGAGGGGGAAGCACAGAAGAGTGGAAGAGCGTCCTGGACAGTGGTGTGGGTTTTAAAATCATTGCTGGGAGGAAAGTGAAGGAAAAGGTAAAGGATTAAATAGGACGACAAGTTTACAGAGATTGGATTCCAAGACTCTATCAAGGTACCCAATCTCTAGCTTTACATAATTTTCCACAGCGTCACTCAGTATCCAGAATGTAAAAGTAGAAAATGGGGACTGTGGAACTGATCCAGGGTTGAAATCTTGCTACTGAAGAACAAGAGAGTAACAATGAGGTATATGTAAGGCCCTCCAGGAGGTTGTTACAGGATTGAAGTGTGAAATAATGAGAGTGGAAATGTAATGGAAAGGCAAAGTAGTTCTAATAAGATTTGATAAGACTTGTTGATGGACAAGATAGAGGAAAATAAAGTAGTTGAAGATGCCCTCAAAGATTCAAATGTAGGTAACTAAGAAATGGTACGACAGGCAAAGACAGGAATCTTGGGAAATTTAAGTTGGTTTTAGAGAAGATTATTAATTCAATTTTAGGTATGTTGAGTTACAGGTGAAGGTGAGATATCTAAGTGCAATAATGAAGCTAGAAATTAGTAAGATAAACAAAACAAATACAATAAATAAAAAATACATACATACTTTAGTTCCATATCGTTATGGTAGCCATTCCTGTGCTAATAAGATCTGGGCTGGATAAGGGACATGAAGAAAGCAGTGAGAATGATGAAGACAGACAGAGATTAGGTATAGTAGGAACATATAGAAACAAAACAGATGGAAAAAAAGGCAGAGACAGAAAGAAGGGAGAAGATGGGTTGATGAATGAAATAGTCAAAGTGTCATATATCAAACTGTTTCTGTCTTACCACTTGCTTGCTTATAATATGGGCTTCTGCTGTTCTGTTCTTTGAAATTCTCATTAGCTAATTTAAATTCTCCAGCTATTTTTTAATCCTTAAATGTTTACTGTTCTTAAAATGGAACAGTCAAAAGCAGGGCTGGAAATTTGTTCTTTGAGCTCTATTATGCTAATGGTCAGCCTTCCTCCCTGGCCAGATGAAAATTTCACCAATATCCTTCCCTTATTCTAATAACCTTGAAACTTCAGAATGCTAACATGACTCTCCCTTTAGAAGTGACCAGGCTATATACACTTCTCATAGCTGACTCAGTTCCAATTTTACCTAATGCTGGCCTTTAAACTAGAAGGTACTTATTTCAGATATCCTCACCCTAGCAATAGGAAAAATACCCTAACAATTAGTTAAAGCTTGTCATTTCTCCAAACATCTACTACTTTTAGAAGCTCTACCACTTTTTTTTCATTTTATTTCTTTTCAGTGTTCCGAAACTCTACCTTATATTACTACTTTTGCCTAAATCAACATTCTTCAAATTCCTAGATAAAAACATGGATCTCTATGTAACTTTTTGGGATATGTTGAATCACGTTAATTAGGAAACTTAAATAGTATAAACACAGGATTAGCATTCAATATATCAAGATTAGTAGTTCACTCATTCTATATTAAACTAATTGCTATTGAGGGAGGCCTACTCTGTGCCAGTTTCTATCGCTAGCACTGGAAATACATTAGAGTTAGGTGAAATCCCTTCCCTCAAAGACCTTACACATTCTAGTAGGAGATAAAGACACATGGAGAGAAAATTATACATGCAGGTTAAGGAAGCACAGAAGATAAGTCTTGAAGGAACAGAAAAGGCTTCCCAGGAAGTAGTATGTTAAAGAATGAGTAGGAATTAGATAAAGAAGAGGAACATGGAGATGTTTCAGGTAAAATGGCACATGAAAAAGGGCACAGAAACAAGAAATAGGGTAATGGTTTCTGGAAACCATAAGCAGTTTGTTGGTTCTGACCTATATGGATATGGCAGGAAGTAGCAGGGGATAAGCCTGGAGAACGTATGCAGGGAAAGATGATAAAGAGCTGTGAAGCTTAGATTTTTATCCCCAGAAAAAGGAGAATCAAGTGAGGATTTTAAAGTAGGGAGTGACATGGAAAGATGTGCACTTTAGGTGAAACACTCTCATGGTTAAATTGAGGGTAGATTTGGAGAGACAAAACTGATGATAGGGAGAGTGGTTAGGAGGCTGTGGCAATATTCTAGAACAATGCTTCTCAAAATTTATTGTGAGAACAAATCACCTAGTGATCTTGTCAAAATGCAGTTTCTGATTTAGTAGGTCTGCAGTGAGGCCTGAAATTCTTTTTTCTAACAAGCTCTCAAGTGATGCTGATGATGCTGGCCACAAACCACACTTTGAGTAGCAAAGCTCTAGGAAAGATGCGGAGGGCCTGAGCTAGTATGGGAAGAGTAGAGCTGGAGATAAGGGAACAGGTAAAACAGTCACGGCTTGGTGTTTCATTAGATATAAAAAGTAAAGAAGGTAGTGTTGGGGAATTCACAGTTAACTACAGGTTTCTATTCCGAGTGACTGAGTGGAATTGAAATGGATATGAGGTATCCAGGTAAAGCAGTAGCTGCCAGTTGGAGATATGAATCCAAAGCTTGACAGAAAGGTTGTAAGCATACAGACAAGAGATGAAATCAGGGGAACAGCTTAGATCATGTTTGTAGAATAAGGTCAAGAATGGAGCCACAAGAACACCTACATTTAGGTAATGCATTAAAAAACATCCCCCAAAGAAAACAGAAAAGAAACAGACACACAGAAGAACCAGAACATAAGGAATTACATATGACAAAGAATAGGGCTTCAAGGTGGGAGAAATGAACATTTTCACATGAAGCAGAAAGTTCTAGTAAGAAAAGAATTGAAAAATAACAGCAAGTGGAGGAAAAGAAGTGGATGGAAGGGAGAACATGAAAAAGGAATAAAATACACTAGTAGTGAGAAGGTGCCTGTGGGGGGAAAAATGAAAAAAAAAATATGGTTAGAAGAGCAAGTGGATTATTCCAGTCAGGATCAGAATCTTTATTGTGCCTGAATTCTTGCTACTCTTCCTAGCTCTTCTGTTAATTCTCCTTCCCACTTCTACTACTCTAAATCATATACTTCCTCAATGAAGGTTTTCTGAACCATGGTATTTCACTCCTCTAGTTACCAAAAATATGTACACAAAAATTCATGTCTGTAGCCTCTTGCAATGAAGTGTTATAAACTCAACAAGTTTATACACTTGCTCCTTCAGGGAAAATGGTATATCCTCATTTGTATTCCCAACAATGACTAGCCTAGCACCCTAGAGACACTTAAGCCATACTTAGTGACTGAATAATATAAGCACACAACACTAATTAAAAATACTTCCTTATGTACCTATGACATAACGTGGAACCATGGGGATACCTATATTTGATCCTATAATTAATAAATGTCATCTAAACTTTTCTGAGTCTCATTTTCTAGAAAACCAACAGACAGAACTAGATGGACTCTGAAGTCCTTACTCATCTAAAATTGTATAATACCATCAGTACTAGCAACCTACAGCAAATTGATATATACATAAGTCGGTATGTTTTATAAAATATAAACTTCCTATGAAAGAGTTTTGGGATATTTTTACTGTTTACCATTTGCATCTGATTTTGCTGGAAGAGGTTTCTCTCTTATGTTGTCTACAAACTTCTTTCTAGCTTCATTTCTTTTGTGTTTTTTCCCAACATAATGCTGTTGGGCCATTAATGGACTATTAAAGGAAGCAGGACAGAGCTTGCAATACTTGTTTGGATTATTCAAATCCAAAGCACTGCTGGAAGAGGAAGGCATAGTCTTGTCTTTAATCCCACCTGGAGGAGGCTTGACAGCAAGGGGCTTCAGAAAAGTTGATTCTGCAGAAGTAGTAAGAGGCACACCTGCTGAAATAGTTGTAATGAGAAGTAATCAACATATATTCAGTTATTAGAGCTACATTCATTACAAAGTATTAGGGGAATTCAGAATTCTTTGAAAATTGCTATCTCTGGGCTTTTTTCCACACAGGGCTGTTGGATAAAGGCACTCAGGTTAAAAAGAATTTACTTTTCTGTGGGAATAGAATTTTTTTTAAAAGATTTTATTTATTTGACAAAGATCACAAGTAGGCAGAGAGGCAGGCAGAGAGAGAGGAGGAAGCAGGATCCCTGCTGAGCAGAGAGCCCGATGCGGGCTTGATCCCAGGACCCTGGGATCATGACCTGAGCCGAAGGCAGAGGCTTAACCCACTGAGCCACCCAGGCGCCCCAAGGGAATAGAAATTTGAATACAAGTCTGTCACCAGGTTTCTTCAACATAAGTACAAGAAGGAATATTCAACATCAGGCATTGGCTAATTATATTTATTGGAATAATCAATGAAAGCATGAGAGCTTAGGATGGTTCTTAAAATTAGTGAGGGTAAAACAGATGGTACCAACTTCTGAGCTGGTGTCTTTCCTGAGTATCCCAGTAAGTCTATCCAGTCCAGATTTGTGGTATTTGTATCAAAATAAAATTTATGCAGTTGTTTAAGTCTATAAAATTATATGTTTCTACAACTGTAGTTACTTCAGAGTTCTTACATTTAGTATCCCACATGAGCTTAAATTGATGAATTTGGGGGACTGAAAACAAGACTTTACAAGATGCTTTCTATTGTAGGGCATACTGATTCCAACCCTCTCTAGAAGATAGGAAGACAAACAAATACACAAAAATTAGAGAGACTAGAATAAGTTTAAAAATAATTCTGGTTTAATTTTTTATATTATTATTCACAGTATTCTTTTATTTATTTTTTTATTATTTCAGTTAGCCACTGCATAGTACATCATTAGTTTTTGATGTAGTGTTCAATGATTCATTAGATGTTTATAACACCCAGTGCTCATCATTATTAAGAAAACAGTATGTTTTAAGGTAGGGTGAGGCCTCCCATATGAGTTGGAAATTTATGTTGGTAAATTTTCCATACTACGCATGCCTTATTCCTAAAGTGTTGAAACTAGTGAGAATGTAGTATTATTTTTTACAGAGGCTTAATCATCTCATTTTTTATTCTAGCACACAAATTTTTCAAAATACAAGTTCAGTTTTCCAGTGTGTACTCTGCCACCTTAGGCCAGAAGCGAGATCTTCAGGTTAGATATCTCATGGGCTGATGACTCAACATCACTGGAAGGAGGAAAGAGGCAATGTTTTATAGTTCTGTGTGTCTTTGTGATCTAGCATAAAATAAGTACCCATTACTGATTGATGATGTTGGTGGCACTTTATATTTATAAGAGGAATGAAGTGAACTATCAGGGTAGAAGGAGATTCTGTAACTTATTTTTTTTTGCTTATAGTTATAGTCAGAAAACACTACACCATAACTATATTATAGTGAAAATACTGGTGTGAACACATATGTGAGATAATGTTCTAGGAAGAACTAAAGAAGAAAAAATGAGATTGATGGCAAGGAAAAGAAGAAGGAACTAAGTGAGATTTTATGATCTGATTAGAAAATGGAGAGCCCAGGCTGCTTTTTGTTGTTTCTTCATAGCAGCATAGCAAATCACCTGCTTTCATTTGTATTTAATAAACTAAAAGGTAAAGGTCATAACATTTCTTAAAATTCAGCTAGCAATTATAATCTCCATATTAAATGACAAAGACACAGAAAGAGATTAACTGGGCAGAAGAAGAAGAATCAAGTTATTACTCCAGAGTGAAAGTCTCTCCAATAAAAAAATGGATAGCGAAGTTGGAAAAAAAATGATCAGGAGACCCTGTACTGAAGCGAAAGAGGTGAATGTAATCTTACCCATCTCTGGCTGAAATCCTGATGGAGATGCCTGATCATGCTCCTCCATTAATTGCTTCAGTTTTTTAGCATGGACTTTTCCCAAATAGTGAGACTGAGCAACAATTGGGGAGCTAAATATCATGTTGCAGAGATCACAAAATTTATTTCTGTCTGCTACTTCATTTCTGTGGACCTGAAATAAGCACAATCTGATTAAAATGATTTGATAACTCAAAGTTTAGAATTACGACATCAATGTAGGCCACTTACCTGAAAATTCCTAACATCCATCTTCATTTTCTTACCAGGCACTTCATTTTGTTCCCCATGCATTTGAAAATAAAACCTAACATTTTGAGCATGTTTTTCACTCTGAAAAAAGATACAATATGACTTCGTTTATGCAATAACAGAAGCACCCTGAGTTTACACCTCTTTGGATTTGAGGATAGCACTTGTGGGTTGTAATATACGTGGTATTGTACCATGTTTATGAAGGAGCTTCACATGCTTTTTTCAAATCTCTGAATCTCATAATGAAAATGCTATAATTTAGAGATCAATAACTTTTATGTTGTTGACAGAGACTCCTGGTTGCTTCCCAATATCAAATTTCTTCTTCTTAGTTACATGGCTTGGGCAATATACCCAGCTAAAAGACTGCATGTTTCAGCCTCCCTTTCCACAAAATGTAACCATGTGACTAGATTCTGGCCAATAAGATATAATCTGAACCACTGGGTGAAAGTTCTGAGAAATCTCTTTAACATGCTGAGGGATGAGCCCTTCCAACCTTCTTCCCTTCTGTTTCTGGAATTAAGATCATGGTTCCAGCAGTCATCTGGGACTTTAGGGGATCTTGAGGACAAAAGCTAGTTTAGCAGAATAGAAAGACAGAAAATGCCTAGGTTCCTGATGATATCATGGAACTGTTGTCATGGAACTGCCATACCAGCTCTGTGCTGCTTACCTCTCAAAATTCTTTTTTGTGAAAATTTTAAACCTTCTAAGTTAAGCATATTAGAAAAATCTCTAAAAAATGTGTAACAAAATAAATAAGAATAACAAAAATGTTGGTGTAGGTAGAAGGGAAACTAGTATTCCTGAGCACATGCTGTGATATAATCACTATCTATAGAATTTTAAATTATGAAATATATCCATCTTGCAGAAAAGCCAGGAAATAATACAGCTGAAGCCCATACCCACCACTCTGTTTTAACAGATGTTAACATTTTGCTATCTTCCTTTCAGATCTCCTTTTTAAAAGAGACAAAATTATATATATATAGTCCTATCTCTTGTTATAAATACCACTCAATATGCGGTTTGTCTTTTAACTTTATGATGATTTTTTTCATGTAAAATTTCGCCACCACATATCTTTATTTTAAAGCTATAGTAATGAGGTGAAACTACTGTACAGAAAGGCAAACAAAGCAATACAATGCTACAGAATAATAACCTCAAGAATATATATATGAAATTTAGTATATGACAGAAGTACCACACAAACCAATGCAGAAAGAATGGACTGTGAAATAAACAGTGCTGGGACATCTGGCTATCTGTATGAAAAATTGTCATAAACACCCTCCATATGCAAAATTTAATACTAGATGAGTAAATACTTTAACATGAGAAATAGAACTTTTAAAGGTATTCGAAGAAAATGAAGGGACATATCTACATAAGTGCAAAAAATGGTTGTTTGAACATCTAAATATAAATACAAAGGGAAATTTTAATAAACGCAACATCCTTAAAACTCAAAACTTCTTTGTCAAAGATTAATTGCCCCTATAGCTGTGGCTTCATTTCCATTTCTTTGTGTCCTCTTTAGTTCCTTTCATCAGTCTTTTATAGTTTTCAGACTATAGATCTTTCCCTGCTTTGGTTTATTCCTAGCTATCTTACTGGTTTTGGTGCAACTGTAAATGGGATTGATTCCTTAACTTCTCTCTGCTGCTTCGTTATTGTTGTATAGAAATGTAACAGATTTCTGTATGTTGATTATGTGTCCTGAGACTTTACTGAATTCGTTTATCAGCTCTAGCGTTTTTTGTTGGAGTCATTTGGGAACACTGGACAGCAACATGGAAAAGAATGAAACTGGACTACTTTCTTACACCATCCACAAAAATAAGTTCAAAATGGATTAAAGAGCTAAATGTGAGAACTGAAACCATAAAAATTCCAGAGGAGAACACAGGCAGTAACCTTCTCTTTGACATCGGCCGTAGCAACTTCTTTCTAGATATGTCTCCTGAGACAAGGGAAACAAAAGCAAAAATACACTATTGGGACTTCATCAAAATAAAAAGCTTCTGCATAGTGAAGGAAACAATCAACACAACAAAAAGGCAACCTACAGAATGGGAGAAGATATCTGCAAATGACATACCTGATAAAGGGTTAGTATCAAAAATATATAAAGAACTTACCAAATCCAACACTCAAAAAATGAATAATTCAGTTAAAAAATGGGCAGAAGACATGAATAGACATTGTTCCAAAGATGACATGCAGATGGCCAACAGACACATGAAAAGATGCTCAACATCACTCATCATCAGGGAAATGCAAATCAAAACTACAATGTGGTATCACCTTATATCTGTCAGAATGGCTAAAATCAACAAGACAAGAAACAATAGGTATTGGCAAGAGTGTGGAGAAAGGGGAACACTCTTGCACTGTTGGTGGGAATACAAACTGGTACAGCCACTCTGGAAAACAGTATGGAGATTTTTCAGAAAGTTAAAAGTAAAACTACCTTATGATCCAGCAATTGCACTAGTAGGTATTTACCCAAAGAATACAAAAATACTGATTCAAAGGGATGCATGAACACTTATGTTTATAGCAGCATTATCTACAATAGCCAAATTATGGAAACAGCCCAAGTGTCCATTGACTGATGAATGGATAAAGAAGTGGTATATATATACAATGGAATATTGCTTAGCCATCAAAAAGAATGAAATCTGGGATGCCTGGGTGGCTCAGTTGGTTAAAGGTCTGCTTTCAACTCAGGTCATGATCCCAGGGTCCTGGAATCCAGTCCTGAATAAGGCTTCTTGCTCAGCGGGGAGCCTGCTTTTCCTTCTGCCTGCTCTGCCTGTCACTCCCCCTGCTTGTGCTTGTCCTCTCCCTCCTTCCCTCTCTCTCTTTTTCTCTCTCAGACAAAAAACCAAAATCTTAAAAAAAAAGAGTGAAATCTTGCCAGTTGCAATGACATGTATGGAGCAGGAGAGGGAGAGTATAATGCTAAGGAAGTTAAGTCAGAGAAAGACAAATACCATATGATTTTACTCATACGTGGAATTTAAGAAATAAAAGAAACTAACAAAGGGAAAAAAAGAGAGATAGAAGCAAACCAAGAAACAGATTCTTAACTATAGAGAAAAAACTGATGTTTACCATAGGGGAGGTTAGTGGGGAAATGGTTAAATAGGTGATGGGGATTAAGGAGTGCACTTGTGATGAGCACCAGGTGTTGTATGGAAGTGCTGAATCACTATTTTTGTACACCTGAAACTAATATTATGCTCTATGTTAACTAACTGGAATTTAAATAACTTAAGAAACATTAAAAACTTCAACAGTACTATTCTATTTTACATGTGCAATAAATACTATACACTGAGATAGTCTGATAGTATTAACCAAGCTGTATACTAAAGAGGAAAAAAATCATCTTTTCAAGTAGAGTATGTGTATGGAAATGCTTTCAAATATATGGAAGGTTATGTATAATTTTGATTTGATGATTTAACAATCATAAGCACCAAACTAACAGATGGCACTGAAATTTAAATTTTAAAATATGCTACATTATCAACAATAGCCAAATTATGGAATGAGCCCAAATGTCCATCAACTGATGAATGGATAAAGATGTAGTGTGTGTATACACACACACACACACACACACACACACACACACACACACACACATACACACAATGGAATGTTACTCAGCCATAGGAAAGAATGAAATCTTGCCATGTGCAATGACATGGCTAGAGCTAGAGAGTATAATGCTAATGAAATAAGTCAATCAGAGAAAGACAAATACCATACAATTTTACTCACATGTGGAATTTAAGAAACAAAACAAATGAGTAAAGTGGGAAAAAAGAGAGAGAGAGAAAGAGAGAGAGAGAGATGAACCAAGAAATAAACTCAACTACAGAAAACAAAGTGATGGTTACCAGAGGAGAGGTAGGTGGGTGAGTTAAATTGGTAATGGGGACTGAGGAATGCACTTATGATGAGCACCAGCTGTTGTATGTACGTGTTGTTCACCTAAAAGTAGTATTGCACTGTATGTTAACTAACTGGAATTATATAAAAATTTGAAAAAAAGAAAAAATGGTAACCTATAAAATCTATAATAAAATCCTTAACAAATGGAATTTTAAGAAACATGTACAGCTCATTTTCTCTTCTTATTAAAACCATACTGCTTTTCTTTTCAAGTATGAGGGCTATAAATCTCAGGAAAATAAATCAATACCTAACTCCTAGGGCCAAGAGAAACTGTATTTTTTTTTAAATTTTTTATAAACATATAATATATTTTTATCCCCAGGGGTACAGGTCTATGAATCGTTAGGTTTACACACTTCATAGCACTCACCATAGCACATACCCTCCCCAATGTCCATAACCCCACCCTCTTTCTCCCAACCCCCCCCCCCCCAGCAACTCTCAGTTTGTTTTGTGAGATTAAGAGTCACTTATGGTTTGTCTCCCTCCAAATCCCATCTTGTAAGAGAAACTGTATTTTAAAATATTCTAATTCTAGCTTTTTAAAATTTAGATGAGAAATTCCAGCGGGGAATGTAGATTCTGTCATCTTTACTGCTTTTGTGTATGTCAACTTAAGTAGTCTACCATTTCGCCTGCTTTGGCAGTGTACAGTCTTTCACTGTAGTTAGACAGAAAAAAAAAACCATATTGCTTTTCAAAAATGTACTTTGAAATCTAAACAATTCAGTTTAAAAGTACTTATTTCATGATATAATAAACTTGGCTCTCAGGAAGTCTAGCTTTGCTCTCTCCATATTTTCCCAGAGCAGAAGAGCTTTTCAAAGGTTCAGAATTCTATAAAATATTTTTAAAAACCCAGCCTTTCTGAAAATGTATAACCTTTCAAAGTACTAGAATTGGCAATACTTTAAATATCAGTTTCATTTTATAACGTGCCAACTTTTTAACTATAGGCTAGTAGCAAATATTTTGTAATTATACAATGTGTAAACTTATTTTTGTTTGCTTTTTAATATCATAAATTTTATTTTGCAATCTATTTTTATTGCCTGCATTATTTGCAGAGTTCTCTGAAGATAAGAACATTGTATTATTTACAATTTAATCCTTATAACCATCCAAGTTCTGAAGTATTGGTAGTTCTTAATAAATATTTATTAATAAAAAATGCTATAACATTACATAATGCTTTATTGCCCTTAAAACATTACAAAAAAATAAAAAGATGTAGCAATAGGACAGGTGTCCAGAACATGCTCTTACATGAAGAAAGAAGTAAAAAACAACATATAAAAAATTATATTTTGTTAAAGTGTGTGTCTGTGCCCATGTGCGTGCAGAAAGCATAGTGGAATCATATCAGCAAAAGAGAAGTTAAATGATAGTTACCTACAAGTGACAGAATTATAACTGGATGCGATTTTCTCATATTTTTGTTTATTTTCTATACTATTACTTCATAAGCTCACAAAAAGCTATTTTCTCAAATTTAAATTCAAATGGTTGAATCACAGTTATCACAGAGCCCCTTGATTTTGTGTCTCTTTACTAACTCCAAATCTTTGAACTATGGGGGCTGAGGATGTACTCGGCACTGTCACATATTTGATTTCACTTAATTCTCATGAGCCTAGTAAGTGAGATTTTACCACCCCAATTTTGCAGGTTCAAGAAACATGCTCAGAGAAGCAAAGTGACTTGCCCAGGGTTACACAACAATGATGGGGTTAAAGCCTGAATGTAGGTCCTCTCAATCCATAGCCAACAAAATTTCCCTATCTGTAATTATAGTAATTGAATCCCAGTCAACATAAGAACTGAAATATAGCTGCCAGTAACATTTGCAATGGACAAGACGAAGTGCGTTTTAAAAAGTAAAGCTGGCTTTGTATTTTTTAAAGTAAATTTATTTAGTACCTTTGGTAACCCAGACACTAGATATGAAAGAAATCTAATAGCTCATCCTATGATATAGAAATGGGGTGGGGGAGGGCAACACCAAATGAAAGAAAAGAACACTGGACTTGAAATCAGAAGAAATCATTTTTAAGCTTGGTCACGCCAATGATGCTATGAAGAATCATGACCCCTCTGAGTCTCAGTTTTTAAATCAATAAACCAAAGGAGTAAGAACCTTAAATATTCCCTCTCCTAGCTTTAGAATCCTATGGTTATGCTTAAAAAAATGCTGGCTAAGTCAAGTGCAAGACTGGTTCATTTTGTTTTTATAGCCCTTATTTACTATAAAGGAAGACTTGAGTTCTATAATATCCCTTCTACTCAAGCTTTATAATGCCTCCCTTATATTTACTACAAGGACATGAAGGATATAGTGGCTTGATGACTACAAAGGGAGGCAGAATGGTGTGAAGAAAAGGAAAGAAGCTTTGGAATAAAAAAGACTGATTTTAAACCCCAAATCCCCAAACTTAAGCTAGTAAGTTACTGACCCTCTCTGAGCCAGTCTCCTCATCCATCAAAGGGAAATAATATCACCTACTTCGCAGGATTTTCATAACAATCAAAAACAATAAAATAGGAAGTTTATTGGCTACATTTAAAAACCTCCTTTAATGAGTGTAGAAGATAAACAAATATATAAATACATGTATACATTAAACCATAAAAAATAAAATAAAAACCTCCTTTGGACTCTATTCCCATTATTTTTAACCTACCTCATAATGTGAAATCCTTTGTGATTCAAATTGTAGCAACACTCCACATATATTACAAAAGTTATCTGTATAAAGTTCAGTCTTTTCCTGTTCATTCCAAATCATATCTATGAATAAAATAAAGGGAAGTGAGACTGTATATCACATTAATGAATATTTGGAAGTATCATTTTTCATTCAACTATCTTATTTCTTATGTCACTCAAATCTGAGTGCTTATGAGACTACAGTAATAGCTTTTTGCTTATTGAGGATACAATTCAATATGGGTATATTAAGTAAATTTCTAATCTCTGATACAGGAAGAGTTAGTTGGTATGATAAGTCTAGGCAATATCATTCCAAAGGAAAAGTTATGGGGTTATTAATAACTTCATGAGCTTCATGGGATGATCTAGAGTACCCATAATGAAAGGCAGGATTAAAAAACCTAGCCTTGGACTTTTGTTTTACAAGAGATAATCCTAATAAAGCGTTAAGACTGTCACTATGGCTATGTGACAGCTATGGCTCCAGTGTTATCTTCTTTGTGGTTGGAACCACAAAGAAACTTTGGTCATGGTGGGCAGACATCCTCCATTGTTGTAAAAAGACTGCATACCCATCTGGCAAAACATGTCTCACATAAGCCCCTCAAAGTAAGGTTCATGTAAGAACATCTAGAAATTATGCTATAGTGTTTCTCACTGTAGTAATAACACATACTGAAACTTTCTGCATTTACGCTTGAGGTCTACAGTTCTAAGTTTCTTAATAGCTGCAATGTATTCTGCCAAAGTTTATTATTTATCTATAAGGTATAAATCACAAAACATAAAAATTTTGCTCACCATTTGGCTATTTAAATGAATAAGTTGATACCACATATTCATAGAGAAATGCCAAAGATACATTAAATTGATTAAACCAAGCATACTGGTAAGATTTCGAATTTCTCTTTAAAATCTTTAACTAGTAAATATTATAGTTTGTTGGCAAACTATAAATATAAGTATAACTATATTTATATAACTATAACTATAAATATAACTTACATTATAGATATAACTTAACTACAAATATAACTTATTACCAAAGGAAATTTCCCATTGTAGAAGAAAAAATATAACACATCTAGTTCCCAACACTAACAAAAATTAATTATACACCACACAGAAAAAAATATGCAAAGATATAAATTAAATTTAAAAGTGGTTAACTCTGGGAAATGGGGCTAGAAAAGGAACAAAGGGAGAAACTTAAATATTTTATTCTTGTTTTAATTTTTGCAAAACACATGTAAAACTTTCTATTTAAAAGCTTTTAAATATATTAATTTTATTTTAAAGATTTATTTATTTTAGAGGGAGTGAGTGTATGAGCAGGGGAAGGGGCACAGGGAGAGGGGGAGAGAAAGAATCTTCAAGCAGACTCCCCACTGAGTGCAGAGCCCAATGTAGGGACTCAATCCCAGGACCCTGAGATCATGACTTGCGCCAAAATCAAGAGCCAACCACTTAACTGACTAAGCCACCCAGGCACACGTAAAGATTTTTATTTTAAAAGTTATGTCAGATATCTTCAACTAAGCTTAATTTTCAGTATTGCTATATGCACTAAAAAGGCTTTCTTAAAAAATTGCTTGTCCAAGATAAGAATAACTATAATTAACATCATTAATTATCAGGGAAATGCAAATTAAAACCACAATGAGGTATCTCTTTACACCTGTGAGAATGGCTAAAATAAAAAACACAAAAATTAACAAGAGTTGGTAAAGATGTGGAGAAAAAGGAACCCTCATACACTGTTGGGAATGCAACATTGGTGCAGCCACTGTGGAAACCAGTATGGAGCTTCCTCAAAAATTAAAAATAATATGGAGGACATTGGGAGATGGAGTGGAGAAGTGATTTGGGGGAAATTGGAGGGGGTGACAAACCATGAGAGACTGTAAACTCTGGAAAACAAACAGGGTTTTTGAGGGGAGGAGGGTGGGGGGTTGGGTGAGCCTGGTGGTGGGTATTATGGAGGGCACGTATTGCATGGAGCACTGGGTGTGGAGCATAAACAATGAATGCTGGAACACTGAAAAGAAATAAAATTAAATAAAATAGAAAAAATCTTTAAAAAAATTAAAAATAGAATTATCGTATGACCTAGTAATTCCACTACTGGGTATTTACCCTCAAAAAACAAAAACACTAATTTGAAAAGATATACACACCCCTATGTTTATTGCAGCCTTATTTACAATAGCCAAGATGTAGAAGCAATCCAAGTATCTATCCATAGATGAGCAGATAAAGAAGATGCAATGTATATATACAAATGGAATATTACTCAGCCAAATGAAATCTTGACATTTGCTACAACATGGATGGATCTAGAGAGCAGAATGCTAACTTAAATCAGTCAGAAAAATGACAAATACCATACCATTTCACTCATACATGGGATTTAAGAAACAAAACAAATGAACAAAGTAAAAAAGAGGCAACCCCAAAAAGCAGATTCTTAAATACAGATCAAAACCTGGTGGTTTCCAGAGAGGAAATGGGTGGGTGAAGTGGCAAAATAGATAAAAGCATTAAGGGTACACTTATCCTGATGAACTCTGAAAAACATACAGAATTGAACTAATATAATGCTGTATGTTAATTATAATTTGATAAAAAGAAAGAATAACTTTAGTTAGGAACATGTCAGAAATGCCTTGACAAACATTTAAAAATGTATCCCTATAATGTATCGACAGAATCCCCTCTGAATTACTTTTTTTTAAAGATTTTATTTATTTGATAGACAGAGATCACAAGTAGGCAGAAAGGCAGGCAGAGGGAGAGGGGGAAGCAGGTTCCCTGCTGAGCAGAGAGCAGGACACGGGGCTTGATCCCAGGACCACCATGACCTGAGCCAAAGGCAGAGGCTTAGCCCACTGAGTCACACAGGTGCCCATGAATTACTTTTTTAGATTGTTTTAGAATATATGATTTATCTTTGACTCTAAAATCAGCAAGGTAAAGAGGTTACAATATATTTTAGGATTTCCCTATATAATTAACTATTATATGCAATGGAACATACTGGTAAGATTTTGAATTTCCCTTTAAAACCTTTAATTAGTAAATATTATAATTTGTTGGCAATATAACTTATTATCAAAGGACAGTTTCCTTTAAGAAGACAAAAGGAAACTACTAGTTTAGAGGTTCAATAATTCCTAAAATATAACATTCATTCTCTCTTAGATCAATATTTAAAATTCCAGATTTCCCCAGGTTAAATACTCAATGTTTGAAACTCAGTGTTTCCCAACTCAAGCTGGGAAATATCAAGGCCAAATATTTTAACCCAGCCTTTCATTACTGGTACCCCACATCATTTCCATGAAGCCCACGAAGTTATGGCACCCCTATAACTTTTTCTTTAGAATGGTATTGCCTAGACTTAATGCCTTTGACTCATTTCCTCAATCAAGTACTTGGTATGTTTTTCTTTATTAAATGGCACAATCTTTCAGGCTCAAAATCTCAGCCATTCTTGTCCCCAGCAAATCACTATTTCATGTCCATTCTAGCTTATAATGTCATTTCATATTCATCTCTTCCTTTTCATTTCCCATAATACTATTCTAGTTCAGGCTATCAGTGCCTTTAGACATTTAGTTTCATGATCATTTACCTTTATGATCTGATGTTAGTCTCAAAGTACTATGGTAGACATTTTGGAGAGATTAAAAAAGAATGAGCATCTATTGAAGGCCTTCTATGTGTCAAACAAAACAACAGCCTATCCCTTTAGTCCTTAAAGCAAATCTGCAAAATAAGTGGCATTTCACATATTCTGAAGATTAGAAAATAGGGATTCAGTACAATCAAAATTACTTGTCACGTTGTGTTATTTGGTGAAGTTAAACCTAAACTTTGTTTTACCTCTACTTTCCCCATTTTTACATAACTATCCCACATGTTAGAAATGATGAATTCCTAACCTCAAGAAATTTACAATTTAGTAAATTTAGTAAGTGTATAGTTAGCATATAGAAAAAACTATGATCCCAAGATTAAATGTCATATGTGATAAAGGACACAAGGTACAGTGTGTTCCTGCTGAGGAGTTTGAGAAAAGCTTTCTAGAGAACAAGTTTTGAACTAAGATTTAAAAGATGTGTAAAATTCATATAAAAAAGTGGAATAAACAGATTTGGGGAAAGGCAAGTATATGAAGGACAATAATTGGAAGGTTGGAATGAGGCCAAATCATAGTTGTGTTCACTAGGGCATTTGGATTGAATTCTGCATTCAAAAAAGGAAAAGAAGTAGCTCAAAATGCGGGTAAGAGTTAGGAATCAGTTGCAGGCAAGAGGTCATTGACGCTTGAATCAGAGGAGGGGCAGCAGGCACAGAGAGGAAGAAATGGACATAAGAGACGTAACTATCAAAACCAAGGGGCATTAAATCCTGAGCTTAGAACTTGCTATGAATATGATAAGCTTTTAGATCTATCACATTTAAGCTTACAAAATGTTCCTGATGCAAGAAGCAGAATTTTGACCTTAAATCAAATAAATTCACCTACAATTACTTGTCAGTGGGTGTTCTTTGTGACTGTAATATAAAGAATGTGCTGATGTTCTGACTTCAGTGAATCAAAAACTAAAATACAAAAATCTGTAATTTAACAAGAAGATACTGGAGTGATGATGCAGATTAAAATGTACTTAGGAGGACTGACCCTAATTTTCTTTAAATAGCATGCTTTCCTAATCAATTCAAATATGATTAAATCTACGTTCAAATTTTCAGGTACACATCTTCATGTAAAAATTATTCTCAATCAGGGTATCACATCAAATTCACATGCAGTTTTTCCAAAATCATACGTGCTGAACTAAAAATCTCTGTGGGTGGTTCAATCCAACCACAAGTGATTCTGATAACCAACCATGTTGGGAATCACTGCCCTACAGGACAGGCTCAGATCCTTACAAATAACAGCTGTCCAATATCTATTTGGTGACTAAGCTGATTGATATACAGGTTTTGTCATCTATGATACTTATCAAACTAACTGTGCTTTAGACTAACCTGAAATGATTTTTGAAAAAAAAAGAAAGAACAAAAAG